AGAAAGGGAAATTTTTCTTGCCGCTGTATTTTAGGGTAATCGGCCCAACCAACAATTTAGGGACTAATACGATTTGAAGAATCTCTATGTGTAAACGAATTCGTTGATTCGGCTTTCGTTTAAATTTACCGAGAATTATACTAGTAGGGAAGACTGAGTGACTGTATTAGTCTTTGATACTCTTAATTATTATGGAAATAACCTAGAAAGCGCTTTGTATATCAAATGGCTAAGCCTTGATTTACTTGAGTTGCCTTGGGGTAGAAAGGTCTCATGTTGGGATAAATTCCAACAGGAACAACATTAGCAGATCGTAGCAAGTGGCAACTAACTGTATGAAAGTATGTTATAGCGGGCTATAACATAGTCAGAAAAAAGGCGGCTTTGATTACAGGAAACAAATCTATCTCAGTCGTTTCTCCATTTTGGGGCGACGAGCACTTGGAGATGTCCGATTTGTGGCTTCCGTAGAGTGAGAAGAAAAAGTCTCTAAATTGACAGAACATGATCAGCCAAGTGAACAAGTTCAAAAACCACTTCTCACATCACCGCACTAAATATTCTCAGCCGTCTAAAGGTGCAAATCAAGGGGTGGAATTAATGGTACCGCCACCGCTCCACAACGAGGTCGCGCCTTAAGTCTAACGTTAACTATTGTCAATGTATAAAAACGACCGAAAAAAAAACCTGTCTTGAGTTGAAACCGAGCTACCACTGCTAAGTTGTGGCAACCAATTTGTGTCAAAGAGTGGCTTCCGAACGTCCAAATAGCAGTCAGCATAAAGGCCACGCATGATCAATCTTGAGTCACTGTATGAGAACGACTCCTAGGTTTTGTCGAAAAGGGATCAGAAAGTTCTGCTTGCTCTGTTTAGGAAGATATATTGTTATGATCGAACTGCTTTAGCAAGCATAAGTAACTGATTGAACTTTGTGCTTTGGATCAATCTGGGTTAGGCAAAGACGTCATTCATTCGTACAAAGGCCAATAAGTGGACTTAAATCTAGAAAAGTGAAATAGGACACAGAAACTATGTGGTTATGAGTCGAGATAGTGATGCCTTTGGCATTGGCGTGTGTAGGAAGTAATGGATAGTTGTCATTGGTAATGGCAACAGATAAAGATGAGTGTGTCATATTGGATATAGGTTCATTTAGTGGGAGAAATAGACAAAGTGCTCATATAGCGTACGCATAATCTCAGTCAAAGTGTCGATTTGCTACAGTACATTGTGTCTCGGTAGAAGTCCAGACTTGTGATAGCTGGATATTTCACATCGAGAGGTCATCATTGTGCAAAATGACGAAGAAACCCCTCTGGGGAAGAAATATTCGGTAGCTGTAGAAGATAGTTAAATATGTCAAGTAAACCGGAACACTTTGTTCCTAATCTCTACGATATCTGTAGTATGATTGAAGATACAAGTGAAGAAGCTCACAACGGAGTAAGGTTGTGCTGCAAATGATTTCCATGGATTTATATATATAACTATCTACATATTTACAGGTCACTAGAGAAGTGTTTGTTTGGAAGTAGTGAAAGAATGAAGAGACATACTTTGCGTGGAGTAGACGCAGTGTCAAAGAGTATGATTTGTTACAAATAAGAAATTTCACAGATACAGTGACTTTGTAGATGCTAATACTCGGAGATTTGAACTAGAAAGTACTTAATTTATCTTTGCAATTGACCAAGTTTTTTAAACAGGATTTGACGTTCGTTCACACTGCTAGCAACAAGCCGTACAAAAATTTCAATAACATAACTTCCCCCCGACGCTCCATTCAAGCCATAACACTCTAACAAACAACCTTCACCCCCCAGCCTAACTCTCACACCCCTTCGAAAACTCACACTTCTCGCACCCAGATCCCTCCCACGCTAACCCGTCGCACACCCATAGGATCAGTATGATCAACATCCCCTCGCTTACTTCACCAAGCTAAGCGAGCGAAATAGGAGTAAGCGAGGCGAAGCCTCGTAGGATCAAAAGAGTATTCGTATTTCCCCTCACGAGGTGGATCCAGGAATTGAACTGTGCACGAGGCGATCTGATAAGGAAAGAGGATTCGGGTGGAGGGTGGAGGAACGATAAGAGATGGGGAGACTAAAATAGCAGGTTGGAGAATCTGAGGGGAGGTTGTCTTTGCTGATTTTGGTTTCTTGAGGAGTTTTTGGGCTTTGTTTGATCGACAGGTTAGAATAGTTTGGACTTGGATGAGGATGCGGTATTTGCCAGGTGGATTGATACATCTTTGCTATTTTGATCACAAGAAGCACAGCTGCCTGCGAATCTCAGCTTGATATATTGATCAACAAACGTCAATGTGAAGGGACTCAGCCAAGACCGAGATAAACACCATCTGGCCGGAAACCATTATCATAGGGATATTTATCGGACAAATGCTGCTTCCATCTTTATCTGTTGTTGCGCCATCAGGATCGCGACGCGGGGAAATCATTGCTCCAAGCTATTTTGGTGATACCTGATTTTAGATAGGCTCTCATTCTGGATTGCGCAGCACGCACATGCTAAAAGTTGCTCGTAGTTCCGTCACTTGATCGGGCTGATTTATGAACTGTATAGAACTTTTTGTTTATACGATTCTAAGCTGACTAGTGGTGCTAACGTATGCTTGTAATACTTCACAGATGCATGTGTTGTGCTATTGCACGTCAAATTTAAGACATGGTAATCCAACCTGCCTACACAAAGAGCCATAAAACAGACCAAAAGTTACACTTGTATTAAGCATCGACAGGATCACCCCCACAATTTAGGCTTGTGGTGTAAGGAATGAAAGGCCGATCGTTGCCCCGAAATCTTGAAGCTGAAAGCGCGAACAAAGATTGATTGGATTTGAAGAAGACATAAAGTCCGTACTTACGGGCTTCACCAGAAACGCCTCCACTCGTACGTGCCACAGCCTCATCGATGTCTTGCAGCGGCACTAAATAATAGCCAGCGAAGCACGATAAATGTGATGTACACTTGCACATCACGGTATATGACCCGATTGTTAATTTTCATAGCTGAGTTCAACAAATCAGAGAATTGTGCTATGCAACCGCTGTGAAGTATGCTTCCTTGGTTGCATGCACGAGAATGTAGAGAGGTGGTTTGTTTCATTGGTTGAAACGAGTCGACCGCATCACAGCCCACAGAAACATTTATCGCTATTGAGTGGCCAATACCGCGCGCTTCAATACCCCTCACTGGCGACAAAACTTCAGCACATGACAAGAACTGTTGGAGATGAAGAAACAAGAGCAAATGAGGTTGTAGATGAGCGCTTAAAGTTCGAAATCCAAGATCGCTGGACCTGTAGATGACTTCTTGTTTCCGATAAGTTATCTGATGAGGTTGAAGATGCAATGAACTCTGCCTGCATGCCTGCACAACCATTACGACAATTCTCCCGCTGCACTTAATCGGAATCGATGAATCACAGTCGTGAGAATTGCCTAGACATTTCGGTACCGCGAAGGCAGTTCTGGTATTCTGTGAGTATTGATTGGGATTTGCCTTGGCCGAAGAACGATACTTCAGATGCTGCAGAACTAGGACACTGGATGGGAATATTTTCCTCAACTGGGGAGGATGAGGAGCTGCCTTTCCGGTTGACGGTCGCACAGGTGTAAACTTCGAGCTCAACGGTCGCTGTTGACACCGAAGAAGGAATTTCGGGCGACGAAATCCGCAGTCCACGTTTGATTGACGCGAAGTCGCGTCGCTTGTGAGTTGTTGTAACTTGTAACAGTTTCTCTCCTCTGATGTTTGAATCATACAGAGATCGCACTGCACAGTCATCGCGGCATGCTGGCAACACGTGTTACAGCTGGCTTGCGAAGTTGCGAGTTGTTGGGGGCCTGAGTGACCGTAAATCCGGTCAGTGCGAGCGGAAAGGCCATAGCAAAGTGCAGTGCCGAGAACACCAAAGACCTGTGGACGAGTAAACGAAGCCCAGGGCGGAGGAACATGTGGCTGATTGGCAGCCGTTACACTCTTTGAACACTTCTATATTTTGACTTTGCAAGTCGCACCTTTTCATGACTCTGCTACGCTGACACGAATGCAAGAAAGAGACAAGTTCCCGCTCCCGTAACCGACGGACAGACTTTGACAGCATCTGATCACCTTAAAGACTGTCGACGATTGAAGAAAGAAAGAGAACACAAGTAATTGCGCACAAAAAAGCCGTGGTGATGTATTCCAGTCAGTCTAATCGCGCGATGTTGCGTGATTGGGCGTAATAAGACCTGGATTGTACGAAATATATGTGGTATAGCCAGTAAGGTTACTTTAAGCAGAAGCGAGCCCAACAGAGGTTACAAATGCATAATTGCCGAATTAAAAATGTGTAAAAGAGCATAAAACAGAAGATTATTATCGCAACAAGAAATTATTTGTCGCTCGTATGTTCTGGGCCTCAGAGTCCAATGCGGTGAGGAAGGCAAAAGACTGCCGATCTGAAACGAACTAGTCCCTGGCATCAGCAGCCTCCAAGGGTGTTCGTTTGAAACTCGACCGTTTGTGGTTAGAGGCGAGGTACGCAGGTACAGATTGCTGCAGGGTGCCTTGCAAAAGGGGAGAGAGCGCCGCACTATTTTCGGCTGCTAGTCTCTTTAGCCACGAGAGAACTCGAAGAAGCAGCTAGGAAAGACAAGTCCCCGAGGCAACCCTCACAGTATTGAAGATACTATTGATGGCCCCGGGCAAGTTCGGTCCATTTTAGGAAGCGTGAGGATGAACATTGACAAGTGAGGTAAGAATTAATATATATTCTTTGTATATTCCAAGAGCATAAACCAATGATATCATGTCATTTAACGGATATCTGCTCGTAATGCGCTAGTAACAGTAAGTTACGCAAATACAATACGGTACGGAACTTGTGAAAGATACCTAGATACGACCTAGATTCTGTCAGTACCGGAATTCTGTAGACATTGCGATGAACACCTCTGCTATATGTTCCATTCAACATTCGAGAACAATATGCTCGCTGTCAGATCCGATGGGATAGCGGCTCTATTACTGCCATCCTCCTTGTTCACTGATGCTGATGCTGTGACCGTCTCCTGTTTAGAGCTGCGTATGAGAATCACTGAAGTCAGCACTCCTTTCCCCACCACCGAAGTTTCCACGAATCCTTCCAAGTCCCAAGCAGTCATCACACCGTTTGTAGAAAGCAAGCAAGCTCCCTACGCTGTGCTACCGCGCTTGACCGCCACGGCTTGCTCGATATTGGGCTTCAATATAACCGTCGCATCGAGCAATGGCAGACGATCTCTATGCATCTGTACGAAGGAGGGTTGACAACTGAGTAAGAAAGATGGAAAGTGCAACATCACCACCCACCTCCGGTTGAATAGATGCGCAATATCTGAAGGGATTGGCTTAAACCAGCAAACCCGCAGCCAAAGGATCAAGAAGCAGCATGCCCTTGTTCTTTCTGGACACCATCATCGCTGGAGACTCCAGACATTGGACTCCTCGATTAGGCGGACAGAGGATTTCCATGACACGGATTGTCGACGTGCCCTTTCTGATCTCTCGGCTGTGCGATTATTGTGACCTTGCTGCTGTGCGAGTATGACCATCTACGCCGCTGCAGTGATACATACTTCGCAGTGTTGGGCATCCCCACGATGTCGATGTCGAGTCTCTCCTGGATAGAAGCAATAACCTTAACCCAAACACTTCCACGTCTTCATCACCAGCGACGACCCAGCCACTCCTAGCCAGCTAGTATTGGAACAATAACAAGAAGCATCGATTATTTACGGTTCGCATAAGAAACGGATTTACAGAACGGCGGTGATCTGGCCCATATTTTACGGGGGACAGGGTCTGCCCTTGGCCTAAATTCGTGACGGGGGGTGGAGCCACCGAATCAGCGCCTGAGCACTACCAGGGTCCATCGCTGGAAGCCACTCGACTCCTTTCCTCACTACTCAGTCCGCTCCAGTTCTCGTCCACGTACGATCCTCTCCGTTTTCTTCGAGTTTGCGTGCGGTCAACCATCTCGACGCTCTGTTTATCCCGTCTTGATCATATTACCGTTCTAGCTTGACTTGAATTTGTCCATCGTTAACAATACATTCCTACCGTGCTCGAATTGCACGCTTCGCCTCCGTCGAGAATCACCAAGAACAGGCTTGGCTGGAGTTTCAAGCCCCCGAGCAGACGTATTCTTGTTCGTTGTTTCAGCAAGGTTCGCAGAATCATCCCAACTACTTCGAACACTTCACCAAACATCTTCGCTTCCATTCGAACATACTGGTTTCGACTTTTGAGTGGTGTTCGTTGAGAGACTTCGTTCGCTGTTCTCCTTTCGCGTTAAACAACTATACATTGAAGGAAGCGATTGCTGGGTGCGAAAAATTCACGGATTGAATTCGACTTCGACCGCTTTGAGAGCATTCCTTCTTTACGAGTCTATCGACAGACATCCGAACATCGTCAATTGCCTGTGATGTCTTTATAAATCGAGTAATCGACATTGTACTTCGGCCAGACCGAAACCGTGGCGAGGAGCCGTAGCAATTATCGGCTGGAAACGACGACCAGCGACGAATGCGAACATGCCTCTTCCACAACCATTGGAGTCGCTGGATAATTCCTGTTCGGCCATCTTCAACAACACTCTGTATGCTTACACGTCGACGGCATTGCAATCATTATATTTGGGCTCAGACGCAGAATGGATGAACTTAACACCAGGCGTTCCTGTGACAGGAGGTGTCTGTGTAAAGTCGACTCCTGTCGACAACGATGATGCTGCGGGACTGTGGATCGTAGGAGGAGTAGCTGACTCCAGCGACTATAAGGGATTGCAGAAATATACATTTTCGACGGGACAATGGGCGACAATTGAACCGAATGTTCCAGTAACTCAGAACAGACTCTGGCATAGTGCCGTCTATCTCAATGCCTCCGACACCATATTAATGTACGCTGGAACACAGGATGGTACCAAGCAGCCCAGCTCGCAAACCTTCACGATCAACGCCACCGAACCTCACACCGTTCTTGCCTACGAGTCCTCGGCGGATCCCGCGATCACGCCAGAATTGATTCCGTTTTCGCAAAGCAAGGCAATGTACGTTGGAGGCAGCGAGACTAACACGAGAGCAATGCTATTCAGCGCGACTTCTGGATGGAAGGACTCTAATTCAACGCTCGCCCATCCTTTCTACAACTCTACAAATATCCATGCCATAGTTATCAATGGGGACGATGGCAGCAAGAACCTATACACTTTTGACATGACGAAGTCACCCAACCAGGTGAACAGGACCATCATTGTGGATGCTGAAGGTAACCCAGTACAAAATGCTGTACCAGTGGTGGAGGAACGTGGGACGAAGACTGCGCCTACAAAAATGTTGAGAAGAGACGATTTGACTGTTCAGAATTGGCCGACGTACAACGACACACTCGTGCCTTCAAGTACGCGCTCCGCCTACTCAATCGCACGAGATCAAAGCGGTCTGGTAGTGATATCAGGCGGAAATGAGAATGATGTATTGTGCATGTTCCGAGCGAGAAAAAACACGTGGGTGAATGCGACGCAAATGCTTTCGCGGGCTCAGACCAATCAACTCGGCACTACTTCGATACCGACAACGAGCTCTATCTTGTCATCGACTGCCTCATCAGCTCCTACGAACACTGCCCAGATATCATCAGAGCCAGCATCAACTACTACCGCCGCGGCTGCAGCTAAAGCTAGCTCAGATCCTCCATTTCCTGTCAAGGTTCTCGGTGCTGTCTTGGGATCAATACTTGGTGTTGCTCTTCTCTTTATAGCGATACTAATCCTATT